TATTTTAAATTGTAGATACTTCAGAGTGCTTGGGGGAAAAGGGTGATGAAAAGAGTTTTTTGACACTTGAGGTCCTCATGTATAAAAAAAATTGATTACTAGAATACACACCCTTCCTCTTTACCTCCAAACCATTTGTGAATACAGATACCTTCTTTCATCTCTGGTAACACACTGAGCAAAGATATAGTTTTAGTTATCACTGAAATAAGTGTCCCTGAATTTGAACATAGTCAGACTGAGAGTAATTGCTTCTATTTTTCCAGGATCATTCACAAGTAAGGCTTTATTTTGTTTTTGTAGCGGTTGGTTCTTTCTCCTATATTCTGAGCTGGCATAGATTTTCCTCATGCATCAGTAAAACAAACTTTAAGCATGAGATATACAGTTAAATATTCTTGGTATTAACATATCTGTCCTGTGCACTGGCTTTTTCCAAGAAGTTGGCCTGTAAAAAATTACTTCAAAGATAAAACACCCTGATTATTAAATTTATTGTAATATCAGCTTGTTTTTTTAATAATTTTCATCAAGTTTTCAAGGCTATGAAATAGTAGAGTGACATTTATGAGACCCTTTCTTTTTTAAAATATACTTCATACACATTATGGATAAAATGTACACTACCTGATGCACTTACTTTCCTCAAACATGATTGCAACAAAGGATGTGTGATTGAATATCACATTAAAGCATGAAACATTCCCATTTAATTATAAGAATAACTTTAGAGTTTATTGTTTGCTAGTTATCTAAATAATTTTTGAAAAGCTAATACTTCATGCTTTAAGATAATCACTGACATTATTTTGTGTTTTTAAACTTCAAAATTATAGCTGTTTTTTGCTGAGAGTTTGTAATGGTTTAACATTTTGTTATGATGTCATATGTTTTATACTCGTGTAAGTATGAGGTAGCGGGTCTATGGATATATACAAAAGCATTTGGATTTACCACTTTCTTTAAATGCCAAGAAACTCTAAAGCACATGAAGGACAGAGACTCCAAAGAACAGTATTACTTAGGTATCTAAATTTGATGTGGAAAGCATTATTTTTACACAATGGGTCCTCCTTTTGGTGTATAGCACATTATTTTCACTTGGGCATATTTCTTTGAAATGTATGTATTTAAATACAAGAGGGAAATATGAGTCAATATTTAAATAATGGAAGAAAAATCAAGAAAAACAGATACTATATCTGAAGAAATTTTTAAAATATGCAGGTCTTACTTACATGTATTGCACTATATAATCTATAAGCAAAATAAGCTGGTTTGTCTCGAACGCAGAGAACTGGGAGAAATTAGAAAAGTAATGTTAGTGAAGAGACATGATTTCTTAAGAATTCATGAAATAAGATGAACATGTTTTTTCATGTTACAATCTTCACATTGTGTTATAGTATCCACACAGAGTAATAGCAATGTTATAGCTCATCAAAAAAAATACACAGCAACAATATTCTAATGATCCATTCAGATTTTCATTTCATCTATCTCTTGGAACTTGGTCAGCTTCTTCCTCTAACTGATGAAGAAAACTTTATTTTTTCAACTGAAAATTAAACAGTGCTTCAAAAAACCCTAGGTTATCACCACTATTATTGATTTTTTATTATCAAAGGATTTAATGTAACAAAGACCACATGTGATTCATTCTGAAGGCTATGCATTTATATGACTTTTCAAAGTAAATTAGTTAAGGTCCACGTGATTTCTCATTAAGAGGCTTCATTCATATTCCTTATAGATTCCTGGGAAGCTCTGAAGTCTCTTTTATTTATTTATTTATTAGTTCTAATCAATTATACATGACAGTGCAAAGCTCTTTGATTCATTGTACACAAATGGAACAGAATTTTTCACTTCTCTGGTTGTGCATGAAGTAGAGTCACACTATTTGTGCAATCATACATGTACCTAGGGTAATGGTATCCATCTCATTCCATCATTTTTCTTAGCCCTTGCCTCCTCTTCCCCTCCCCTTTGCCACATCCAAAGTTCCTCCACTCATCCCATGCTCCTCCATATGGATTAGCATCAACTTATCAGAGAAAACATTCGGCCCCTGGATTTTTTGAGATTGAAGGGCATCTAGGTTGCTTCCACAGTTAAACAATTGTGAATTGTGCTGCTATAAACACTGAAGTGTCTGTGTCACTGTAGTATGCTGTTTCCAAGTTCTTTAGGGTATAGACCCAGGAGTGGGATAGCTGAGTCAAAAGGTGGTTCCATTCCAAGTTTTCTAAGGAACCTCCATACTGCTTTCCAAATTGGTTGCTTCAATTTACAGTCCTACCAGCAATGTATGAATGTGCCTTTTACCTACATCCTCACCAACACTTATTATTGCTTGTATTCTTGATAACTTCCATTCTGACTGGAATGAGATGAAATTTTAGAGTAGTTTGAATTTTCATTTCTCTAATTACTAGAGATGTTGAATATTTTTTCATATATTTGTTGATTGATTGTATATCAAAGTCTTTTAAGAAGAAACAGTAAGGATGATAACAGGCCTGGCCAGTTTATATGTCATCAAATTGAAATGGTCATAGTTTTGGAAGACCTAGAGCCTGATGAATGTGCACTGTTGATTTTAGCCATTCAGTATTATTTATTTGAATAATAGACTAATACATAAATGAATAATGTATGAGACTATAACTTCTAGCCAAAATAAAATCATCATAACAAATTAATTCAAGTAATTGTTTTCGATTGTGAGAACATAACCTTATCTTTTATTATTTTTACTTTGAAGAAAAGTTAACCTGATAATCATTTTTTCCCTCAAAGCACTAGGAATGGCATCAGGGTATCAGGCATGCTACGCAAGTACTGTCCCACTAAGCTACACCCATAGTCCTTTGTGATTACTCTGGAGTGGCTGCTAGACTGCGATGGCTGGGTGCAGGGATATCTCAACCTTGTAAACTATGCTAAGCCCAAGGCCAATATCATCCTAAATGGAGAAAAACTGAAAACATCCCCTCTAAAAACTGGACCAAGACAAGGATGGAAATCTCAATATTCATTTATTCAACAATTATCCAAGTGCTCACTAGATAAATAACTACTGGGGGAATATTTCACAATGACTTTTCATTTATAGGTCTGGGATTGGGTGTTCTCAAGTTCAAGTGCAGCACAAGATAAAGCGTGAGTAATTCCATAGTAGCTTTACAAATGACTACCACTGTTTTTTCTTCTATGGAGATCTCATTCCTTAGGAAGGCCTGGGAGGTGTGTCTCTCTCATAGTAACTTGTAGAATTCACCACTGAGAAACAACTTGGTAAGTCTCTTTTATGGTAGGACTGACTCCTAAAGGTGAATATACTGGAAAGTCTCTTTCTCTCTCACACACTCATGCTCCCCCAAAACAAACAAACAAAAATACCTCCAAAACAAAAGAACAACAACAACAACAAACCCCTCTTCCTTCTGGGAGGAAAGGAAGCCACATTGCTAGAATTTATCTGCTCTTGGACAAAGGAATGAAAGTCAATAAATACAAAATGAACTTTACAGTATGAAAACCGTCATTCCTGATAGAAAACATCAGATAATTCTGCTTCCCGGTATGAAACCTGAACCAGCCTTTAGGGGAAGATGTCAGTTTATTAATGCCATTAGGCCTCCAGCTTAGTGCCCTGTATCAGTAACTGATATACGTTCCTTCTACAGAGTTCACAACCCTTTTAAATAGTTGCATTCAGGGGGAAAATGACTCAATAAAGAGCTTCAATTCGGTCAGAGCCAGTCAGCATTTGTTGTGAAATAGAAGTTCTGCTGTGCACCCAATAAATTATTACTTACCAATTGCCACCAACAGCTCCTTAAAGTATCCATCATAGCAATCATTAATGGCATCTACCACATCTTGCCCAGAAATATTTTGAAATTCCTGGAAAACTTAAAAAAAAATTGATGTAATTCAAAGGAAATTTTGTAAATATTCCAAACTTAAATATAGATATTGATTAGATTGTTTTACATACTGAAGGTATTTTCTCTAAAATAATTGAAAATACTACCATCAGTAGTATTGATTTCTATGCTTTGAAATAAATACAATACTCTAAAAGTTAGTGGAGTTGGTATAAATCTTCAAAGACTTGCTTTTGCTCTGTCCTCCTTGGGAACAACTGCCACCTCTAGTAGGACTCACTGACTCACTGCTGATTTAAATTCAGAGGAAACACAAGACCAGACATTATTTATGAGCCATTTGTTTAGGACATACATAGAAATAAATCAGACTTATTTCAACAGTAAATTTTCTGCTAGAGCTTAAATATGAAAAATTATTGTAAAAATCCTGAGTGATGATTAAAACAGTGATCATAAGACCTATAAAGAATATTATATATATATATTAGAGTTGTGGCTCAGCTGTAGAGCGCTCACCTAGCATGCATGAGGCCCTGGGTTCCATCCTCAGCACCACATAAAAATAAATAAGTTAATTAAAGATATTGTGTCCAACTACAACTAAAAAATAAGCATAAAAAAGAATATTCTGAGAAATATGAAATCACCTTTTGATAAGCATTATTAGCAAAATTGTGCTTAATTAAGCTTCTTATTTAGGAATTTACTTATGTGGTTTTATCCCAAGAAACTTTTAGTTCTCCATTTTTTATAGCAAATTAGAAGCAAGGAGGTATGGTCTTATTGTATTTATATATATAATTGACATTAGAAAATATAAAGATGGGAGTTCAATTAGAGTAGGTCATCTTTTAAAAATTTTTAATGACTTTTGTGTTTTACATAAATTTTTTTTAATAGGGGGAAAAAGAAAAGTACAATAGTTTGAAGAAACTCAAACAAAGTGCAAATGAATATGAATTACCTCTAAAACCAATACGATGCTACCTCTTTTGCATAAATCATGATATCAGTAATGAACCTGACTCATGATGCGCTGATTAAACTATGTTCACTTTTCAAGATAACATATAGACAACATACCCAGTAGCAAATAGCTAATACAGCTCTAAAACAGTGATAATATTCAAGAGATTCAATATTTGGAAGTTATAAAATTCATTTATTAGAAAAATAAAATTATGGGGAAAACTTTTTTCTTAGTAATGCCATTAAATGAGGCATATATGTATAACTTATAATCCAAAATAATTGTCTTTGTGATAGCCAATTTTCCTCTATTTCTATGCAACATTTTCTCTCTTTTTTTTCTACTTAACTACTTGCTTTTTATTATATAATCAGTTAAGTAGCTGGAAAGAAGATTGATTTCTAATTACCCAGCCACAGCTGCTGGTAGCTCTTGTTGCACAGGATCATCTGTAGCATGGTTTTATGTTCTCCAGTTTTCTGCTGACACGCTTCCCACAGGACCTGAAACCCACAGTCAGGAAGGAGCATCAGAATCAGCTCAGACCATCAGAACAAAGGTTCTTTAGAGCCTGTTGGAGGGCTGGATCTAGTTACCATTGCATCCTGAGCAGCCATAGCAGGGTCTGTGTATCCCTCCTCCCTGGTTCCCTGTAAAGTAAACATAGATTTCCTTTTAAATGTTCTTAATCAACAATCCATGTGGTATTTTTTTTTGGGGGGGGAGGGCTTAATCATACTGTTGTCTTTATTTTTGTGTATTTGTGAGGATTTCCATAATAAATATTTTTTAAATTGAGTTTTGTTTTAATAGTGTTATACTATAAAACATCAAAAAGTTTCCTTCTTTATGAAGATTTCCAGACAGAAAAATAGAATTTTCTGATGGACCATTAATTAGTACATTAACTTAAATTTTCTAACAAGTTATTTAGAAACTGACAACGAAAAATAATTTTTAAAAGATTGTACAAATTACTGTTACTATACCAATAAAAGACCACCAAAAGTTGGAATTTTAAGCCAAAAGCAGAAAGGTTTGATAAATCTAACATTAAATCTAGGTAAGGGTGTGGGCTCTAGAGTCATTAAGATCTAGGTGTGTATTCTAGCTCTGCTCTGTTAGTTCTATATATTTTTGGCAGATTATTTGATTTCTGTAAACCTCAGGGACCATGTCTATAATATTAGGATAAGATTTCTTGATTAGTAAAAGCACTGACCACAGGGCCTGGCACGTGGTAAGTATTCAGTAAAGGATTCCAGCAAATCTACTACCCCATTTCGGTCTTAAATGCATATTTTTCCATATTCTAACATCTCTGAAATTTAGATGTATCCTATAATTGATGGCATTAATTCAAGGAGTTTTTCCTTCCTTAGTGGTATATCATAAAATAATGGAGCATTATTACAAATTGATAACATCTAACATTCAATATAACATAGAATATCAATCATGATAAAGCTATATTCCCAATTTCTACTTTAAGACTATTCTAATAATGATTATGATTTTTAAAAAATTTCAAAAGCTGAGGAAAATATTTTCAATACATCATGAACAGAACAATTTTGACACAATGATTTTGTGAAAAAATGGTTTATCGATTCCATTTTTGTATAAAACATATGGGAGAAACCTAGCCAATCAACACACATTGTCACCACATGAATAGGTACTTTATCAAACTTTGAGTCTAAGAACATAGAGCTCCCCCATGTGGTATTATTCAATCAAAAATCCTTGAACCACTGAACTCTTTGGTAATTCCTGAGGAAGTTCTCAAGTTATTTGGAACAAGACGGTCTGCATTTCTTGAATACTTTTTGAAATATTATATAGGCTTTTTTAAAAGGGTGTTATGATTTGGATATGAGGGGTTTCTCCCCAAAGCTTTGGGTTTTATATGGCAAAAAAAGTGAAATGATTTTATACAGTTCAGAAGTGAAATGATTGGACTATAAAAGATGTAACCTAATCAGTCCATTCCTAGTTTGAATGGACTGACTGGGTGGCGATGGTAAGTAGGTGGGGTGTGTCAGAAGAGGTGGGTTACTGGGGTGTGCCCTGGAAGGGTTCATCTTTCCTGTGACCCCTTACTTCTTCCCTCATTCTCTCTCTTCCTGGCTGCCATCAGGTGAGCATCTTTTCTGGCCCTTGCCCTTCTGTCTCACCTTGGCCCCAAAGCAATGCAGTCAGCTGTCTGTGGACTGAGACCTGTGACATCCTGAGCCTCAGAATAAACTTTTTCTCCTCTAAGTTGTTCTTGTTGGGAATTTTAGTCACAGTGACAAAAAGCTGACTAACATAAAGGAAAATTCATATTTTTTCTTTTGCAACAGTGGTAGTCTTTGAAAGACACTGTGGTATTTTTCACTTCTCCAATTCTCCATAGAATTTTCTCCCCCATTAAACTGAGCATTCACTGCCTGGCAGTGGGTGGCAGGGGTAGAATTTAACACTGTTAGAGTGAAAATTCAGAGAAAGAGTCATCATTTGGCTCACAAAGTAGAATTTATGCAACAACAAAATAGTCCTGACATCCAGATTTTGTGGAGAAGAGTATTTGTAAATTTGTTTACTGACTTTTTTATCATATAAAGAACAGACGTAGTCTACGCGACCATTTCAAACAGAAGGAAGAGGGGCTAACCAATGCAAGATGCATTGGTCCCCAAGGAGAATTCACACATGAAAGGAGAAAGAGGTAAAGGGATCATGCAATCAGAGTTTATTTAACTTTCCTTTAGGGTCAAGATGGGGCAGGAAAACTTTGTTAAAAATCCTTTTGAAAGTAGACAGAGGGTACAATGGCTTCTGCCCCAGATCATTTTTTAGGACTCTGGAAATAGCTACAGAGTTCAGTAAGGCAGCAAGATTAGGCAGAGAGAGGTCCTGAATAAAAGTCCCTTGAATTAACCTCAATCCCTAAGTAGCATACATGGGACCTCAAATTTCCTATCTGATCCTGATCAAGGGTCTTACACTTTGGCCAAGGACCTGGTGGGATAACTTGCCAGATGGAGTTGTTCATATCATGACAGGGAAAAGGTTTTGCAATAATCAAGGGATACAGGTAGACCACATTGACTAGAACTGTGTGGGAGACACAGTTAGACCTCAGAGGGACTCTTCAGCTCCAGTGAGAGTAAAAGTGAGGCTAAATCATCATGTGGGGTTACTTGGCTCCACCAAACAGAGACAGAGGAAGTATTAATGATTAACTAGTTGCACATTTTGGCAGCTAATAGTGAGAAAGGTCCATAACCTGGACATCAACACTCATGTGTTTCATATTTAGAATTGCCTAGGACTGGCTTTGAGACTGGCATTCAGGTTGGATGCAAAAAGGTTCATGACCAGCAAAGATGCAAAATAATATCTTGATGATCTGAAGAGACCATCACTTTCTTGCTACCAAGACATCTCATGAACCATGCATATAGCTTCCTACCAAGTGCCCTCTTGGAGAGAAGGATTGGGGATTGCCAAAACACTAAGGATTCTAAGGATTCATACTTTACTCAAAAAAAAAAAAAAGCTATAAGTGACATTGAATGTGAACCCCCATTGACTATATAAAGTATTGTATGGATTAAATTTGCTATTTCAAACTAATATTAGGTATTTTTTCTTTATTTACTAACAAAGCTGGAGGCATCTGAGAAAGCTCAATTTATTCACAGAGAAATAAATAAGCCATATTTTCTTGTTAGTAAATTTGTAGCCCTGGAAAATTTAATATATTTTATCATAATTCAGAAGTTGTATATCATCTGAAGGTGAGCAGATGATAGGCAAAAGAAATGAGCCTGTCAGACACATTTCTCCTGCCTTGTTTTCTTTGCTTACTTAACATACCAAGGGAATAACAATGCACACATGTAATTCTTGTTTTTAAAAGCGGTGCACTTTTGTGTATGATATGTGTATTTTATGCACCCATACATTTTATGCATGCACACATTTTATGTATTTTAACAAGAAATAGAAGATGATATTTAAATAATAAAAGTAATTTGTGGGGGAGGTAGGATTATGGGTGTTATGTTTAAATCATAAAAATATTGAGGGGCAGGGATGTGAGGGCTCATAAATTCCTCTCCTTATTTTGGAAGTGAAAATAAATGGACCTAGTGAGATTAAGTGAATTGTTCAAGGTCTGAATCCTAGAGAAGAATGTTATTAGATTCCAGTGGCATCGCTGGCTGTGAGATCTGGTTAACCATGGTTGAACCCATTCTTTTTGGACAATCTCTTCTGGTTTCTTTTCAAATTATCTCTGATGGTTTTAATTTATACCAAATGACAAATAACGAAAAACAATGAATATGCTCTATCTTCTCAGATTTTATACTATTCATTCAACAACATAGCTCATCGTAGTAATCCTTAGTCTTCATGTTATTTGAGCTCTCAGTAGACTTGGTTGCAATTGGCTCTGTGTTCTCCTTTTATACTTTCATTATTTGGCTTCCAGGATCTCTTTTTATTTCTATCTCTTTCACTGCAAATTCCTCAATCTTTTTTTTTTTAATTTGAGATCTGCATATTCTTTTTTTAAAAATATTTTTTATTTGCTAATGGAACTTTATTTATATGCGGTGCTGAGAATCGAACCCAGTGCCTCACACATGCTAGGCAAGCACTCTACCACTGATCTACAACCCCAGCCCAAACTCCTCAATCTTGAGAATGGGTTTATCTTACTTTTCAATCTCTTATTTTGGGAGATTCTTATGGTAAGGCCTTAATTGTCTTCTTGCCTGTAGTTATGCTCCCTTCTCTTGGTAATCTTATCTGGTGACGGGGCTTTAAGTTCTATCTGTATTGTAATGATACCCACATTTGTATCTCTAAATGAAATCTATTATCTGGAGGAAAGCAAGATGGTGGATTAGTGAGATGTGACTTTTCTCATAGCTCTATAACTTGGGTCTCAAACAGAAGAGAAACTACTTCTTTGAGAGGTAAGTGAAAAAACAAAAACAGAAACACTCCACTGATATTCAATATTGGACAAGAGAGCCTTGAAGACTGGAAAATTCAGGGTACAACATCAGATTAGGCCAAGAAACAGAATTGGAGCTGATTCAGGTGGAAGAGGAAAAAATACACCAGGTTGGAAATGATTGAAAGTGCTGGGAAAATCTTGGCTTGGGGAATCCAGGGACCAAAGGGCAGCACCCTCTGGGCTGACCCAGGTGCTATCAGTCCCAACAAACTGGCGGGGGAAAGTCATCATCTGCCAGCCCTCTACAAGGAGCCCAAGTTGGAAATACCTCCACGAGACTGGTGTGGACTCAGAACCCAGAACTTAGATCTGTGAGTTTGGGGATGAAACTAATACATGAATTGGGCAGATGCCAACCACGAGATTTAAATGAACCTAACAAATCAAGAGAATCTCTGGCACAGAGACCATTTTGCTTGGGGGTAATACAGATCAGATTGAACCCAGCAGCTAGCAGGACAAGTAGCAGGAAGAAACTGAATAGGGCAGAATGACTGAGCTCAGTGCTCAGAAACAGTCTTGAGAAGCCAAAACAGGGCAGTATCCCCAAACAACAGAACCAGTGAAGGACCAACTCCCCAGTCCCACAAGTGGTGCCTTGGGGGGGGGGGGGCTAGTGGGGTACAGTGCTAG